CCTGGTCACCCCAAATAGCCTGTTCAGTCATCCATTCAGTTGCGATGGTTGCTTAGACTGGTTGAGGGGTATATGGATACTCTGTTATCTTTGCAACTTTTCTGTAAACCTAAAAATATTTCAAAATAAAAAGTATATTTTTAAGAACGAAGCAGAAAAGTGGAAAAGGAGGACTAAATGGTGATGGAAAGAAACTTGACTTGGAGTGCTAAACACATAATACAATATACAGATGGTGTATTATAGAATTGTACCCCTGAAACCTATATAATTTTATTAACCAATGTCATCCCAATAAATTCAATTAAAAATAAAATAAAAATTTCATTAAAAAGTGTATACATTATACACCTAAAATTAATACAAAATAATATTGACTACAAACTATAATAAGTATATTTAAAAAAGTAAATGCCAATGATTTTATGTCTGTACTTTTTATAAATTACATGAACAAATTCCTTGAAATACACAAATTACAAAAAGTGACTCAAGAAAAAAACAGAAAAATAGCACTGTTTTTTATTAAAGAAAGTTGGATTTGTAATTAAAACTTTCCCACAATGAACCTGGGAGGCATGACTAAGTGGTTGAGTGTCAACCTATGAATCAGGAGGTCACGGTTTGATTCTGGTTTGGGCACTTGTCTGGGTTGCAGGCTCGATCTTTAATGTGGGGCATGGTGGAGGCAGCTGATCAATGATTCTCTCTCGTTGATGTTTCTATCTCTTTCTCCCTTTCCCTTCCTCTCTAAAACGAATAAAGATATTAAAAAATAAAAATAACAAAAGATTTCCACAAAGAAAACTCCAGGCCCAGAGAGCTTCACCAATTAAGTCTGTCATACATTGAAGGAAGAACTAATGCAATCTTACACTAACTTTTTTAGAAAATAGTGACAGGAACACTACCCACCTTATTTTATGAGATCAGCATTACCCTGACATGACAAACAAAGAATTTATAAAAAAAGAAAACTGCTGACCAATATACCTTACAAATACTGATGTAAAAATCTTCAACAAAACATTAGCAAATTGAATCCAGCAATATGTAAAAAGGATAATACATCATGATCAAATGAATACAGGTTGGTTAAATATTTGAAAATCAATCAGTGTGATTTCCATAGCAAAAGACCAAGAAAGGTAAACTATATCAAAACATATGCCAAAAATATATTTTTGGGGGAAATCGACATCTGTCCATAATAAAAGCTCTTAGCAAACCGGAGGTCTTCATTGTGATAAAGAGCATCTAGGACAAGCCCTGGCTGAATAGCTCGGTTGGAGCATCATCCTAATACAGGTAGGTCGCAGGTCCAATCCCTGGTCAGGACACATACAGAAATCAACCAATGAGTGCACGAATGGGTAGAACAACAAATCTCTGTCTCTCTGTGAAAATCAATAAATGAAAATTTTAAAATAAAAAAGAACATGTCTCTTATATTTTCTATTCTGAATTTTATTGGAGGTTCTAATCAGTTCACTAAGACAAGAAAAATAAAAGCCCTAAATATTAGAAAGAAGAAAATTTGTCTTTATTTAGATAACATAACCACATACTTGGAAAATCCTAAGGAATCTCATAAATGAATTTAGGAAATATGCAGGATAAAGTCAGTATAAAAAAATTCAAATGTATTTCTATATACTAGTAATGAGCAATTAAAAATGAAATTTTTAGAGTACTATTTAAAATAGCAAACAAAACATGAAATAACTAGGAATAAATTTACCAAAATATGTGCAAGATTTGTATAGTGAAAACTATAAAACATTTCTGAGGGGAAAAAAAAATTTAAACCTAAATAAATTGAGAGTTTAGATTTTGGATTAGAAGACTCAATATTTTTAAGAGGTTAAATGTTTCCTTAATTAATCTATAAATCCACTCTAATCCCAATTCAAATTCCAGATAGCTTTAGAAAGGGGGAAAAAATACTTGATGAGGTGATTTTAAAATATCTATGACTATGCAGCAGATCTATAATAGAATAGCCAAAACAATGTTGAAACAGAACGAAGTTCTAGGTTCAATACTTACCATAAAGTTATAGTAATTGTAGCTAGACATACCAATCAGTAGAACAGAATAAACAGTTCAGAATTAGACCTACACATAAATGGTCAGGTGATTTTCAACAAATACATAGTCAAAGTAATTCAATAGAGAAAGGATAGTTTTATGTGTGTCTGTATTTTGCCAACGAATGCTACTGGAACAATTGGATGTCCATATAGTAAAAAATGAATCTTGACTTTTACTTCATGCACATACTGGTTCAAAATGAATTATAGTCCTAAACATAGAAACAAAAACTATAAAATGAATAGAAGAAAATATAGGAGAAGCCTTCAGGAGGCAAGAGTTATTGGATAAGACAGAAAAAAGTACACACCGTAAAAGAAAACTGAGAAATCGAACATCATGAAAGGTAAAAACGGACGTTAGCACTTCCTTTTGAAAAATAATTTTAATTATATAATGTTAATTTTTTTCATTGAAGTGTATGTGTAGATATTCTGATCTCCTGAGTTAGGCCAGCAAGTCATGTGACCGTGTACTTCTCTCCTCTGCTGGGAAACTGGAGAATTGGCAATGACTTCTTAATTGCATGCCTTGTCTTCAGTGTCATCCAACTCCGATCAGTTTTCTAATCTTTGTCCTTGTCCCTCTCTCAGTAGTTAATCACTCTGTCCTTCATATTCTCAAAGCACAGGGAAATCCTTCTGTTAGAGTTATAGTGGAATTATTCGACTATATCATATCTTTGGGAGTTCAAAGACAAACCTGGTTTAGAAGGGCCAGATGCACGTAAGCCCAGGGTCTGCTTGCTGCCTATCCTCTAGTGTACCCCACATCTTGAGATGCTGCCTCAGGGCCTCCTGGGAGCTGGTTTGCTATTCTTGTGAGTCAACAATGCTTTTGATTCCAGAAGCAAAGGGCTGGATCGGCACACACTGTCTGGCCTAAGCAATCTGCCTTTTGCAAAATGTCTAACTAATAGTAAACTTTACAAAACAAACAAAAACAACCATTCTTAAAATCCCAATTGGAAGAAAAAATGCTGACTGGGAAGATGAGCAGACTTTGATTATACTGAATAGCTAATATAATATACCGTGTTTTTCCATGTATGAGATGCTCCCAACTTTTCCAAAATTAAGAAATCAACATTTTAAACATAAAACAGAACACGTTTTTATTTAGCATCACCACAGGTAATGTTTACATACCATTGCTATGATATTATGCAGCATATCACTTTATTCAGTCTCTTTTACATCATTGTTCTCTTCTTCATCACTATTAGTTACAGACAAATCAATTGTTTGGGTAAACCCTGAGCAACAGATGAATGATTACTTTAACACACGTTTCTGTGAAAGAGAGGGCTAAGGCACTACTTGGCTATCGCCTGCCTCCTTTGGCTTTTATTGTCATAACAGCGTGAACTAAAATTAAGCTCTAGATACAATCAGCAAGGTAAGCATCCTTGAGAAAGCACGTGCTTCTACAAGGTCGGGTCTAAAAGACTAAACATAGAGATTCTAGCAAAACATCCCTGGGGATCAGACTTGTTTGGAAAAGTCAAGGTAGGGGCTGCCGTCTTCAGCAAGGTACCCTCAGAGGCCCCTGACCTTTCAGAGAATCCTCCTTATAGACATTCTAACCAAGTGCTGTGCTTTCCCACATCAATTTCTTCAACTTCTATTGTATCACTGCTGTCTTCGGAGTCACTGTCTATATATTCCTCATAAACTGGTGGCATTTTCTGAACTAACTTCGTTCGTGTTCTCATGGCCAGTCCTTCTCTCCTCATTAAATTGAAGCATCACTTTGCCTTTCCTGTAAAATCAACACCATTCATTTCGCTTGCAAACATTCTTGCCTGACATTGAATAAGCTTGGTTGACACACATAAGCCACTCTGGTGGCTGCTCCATAATCCAAATTTTAAGCCTTTGCACCAAGTTTGCCCATTTTGTTGCTTTTCCTCTTAAGACCTTCTTTTTTGGCATCTTAAGGATTTGTTCTTCCTGTTTTCTCCACTTTCTAATCATACACTCAGAGGGAGGAGGTCCAAATGGTGTCTCTGTGGCTCTATTTCTATGCTCTTTTGCATAGTTGATTATATTCAGTTTGAATTTTGCAGAGTAAGGCAATTGCTTACTGGGATTTATCTTCTTATTTTTTGACATATTTATGGGCTCAGAATGCTCTGGTCTCTGTTGCATCTGTGCACTATCCACCTCCAATTACAGCATCAGCTGATGTCAGTAATAATAAGGCTGGTGATTGGAGGAAGCCTGGTTGACAGGGTATGGGCTACTACACACCAATGTGGCTCCCTTTTTGGCTAACTTCCGAGTATAAGATTCTCCTCAATTTTCAGTCAAACGATTTTAGAAAAAAAAATATATAGTGTATTATACATGCAAAAATACGGTAAATCTTTGTGTGTATAGGCCTTGTAGTCTTAAGTACTCCTTGTGCCATGTGAAAGCATATATTGTTAGTATTCACTGGCAGAATATTTATTTGTTCAACAGGGATTTTCTATGGAGAGATGTTAGTTAAAGGGGACAAGCTTCCAGTTATAACATGAATATGTTCTGAGGATCTACTGTACAGCATAGTGACCATGTTAATAATACAAAATAAGATAACTGAAGTAACGGACATGTTAATTAGATGACTTGTGGTGATTATTTCATAACATTTATGTCAAATCACCACATTATACTTCAAATATATACCGTTTTGTCTATTATACTTAATAAACCAGCCATTTCCTGAGTACCTACTATGTGCTGTGCTTTGCACTGGATATATGCATGCAGAGATGATTAAGACATGGACCTCATTTTCTGTGAGTCACAGAGCTAATGTAAGGCTAGACTGCCAGTCTTGCCCCCACTTCTCCAATCCCAGGCCATTCTCTTGCTATAAATGAAGGAATATTATGGAACATGCATATATCACTCCCCAATTTAAAACCCTTTAATGGCTCCCCGTTCTCCCTCTGGGTGAAATTCGAGCTCCAGAATATGGCCCTTTATGATCCAGTCTGCCTCCCTCTCCTGGCACATCTCTTGCTGCTTTCCTACCCGCTTACACTTCACACCAGCAGCTTCGCCTCCATCTGCAGGAGCCCTGGACACTTCTGGTTCAGTATCCCAAATGGGCAGATCTACAGCCAGTTCAGGAATGGAGATTATTTTTCCAGCCAAGTGTTTTTTGGCTGTAGGCTCCGTGTGTTGGGCCTTAGGAACATGGAGATATGTAGGAAACAGTCGCTGTTCCTGGAAAAGGGGAGAGGAGCATACTGGGAGGCGGGAACAGAATGATTGGAGACTGGAGGTGTGAACAAAAGTGGATGTGTTTGGGCAGGGATTAATCGTTTAGTCCAGCTGGAACATAGGGTGAGTGGTTGGGAGGGACAAAAGGTGAAACCAAAGAAGTAGACGGGAGGGACCAGGTTGGGAGTGGCCTTCTGTCGTAAATACACATTTGAGCTTCATATTTTGGGCACTGGGGAATCAACTAAGATAATTAAGCCAAGGAAGGAAGGAATAGGATCTGCACTGAACCGAGTCCCAGGCTGAAGGTTGAGTGTTGGATCCAACCTCTTGTCGCTTCTCTGGTTCCGAGAATCTGGCCAAAACTGCCCCTCACCCCAAACTACTGATATTGGACTTGGGGTCAGGGGACAGTTTGCTTCAAAGAATTCTTACAAGTGTCCAGCCTTTCATCCTCCATTCTTTAAAAGATTGCCTGAAGGTCTCTGTAAGTCTTGTCGACCACTCACCAGGAGTGTCTACTCCATGACTTACTAATTTCAGGCAGGAAGAAAAGGAGCATCGTGGCCCAGTGAGCCTTGCCCTGAGTGTGTGTGCATGATTTGTCAACAATCGAGTATTTTATGGGAGTTTATGGGACTTCATTAAAGACGCTGGAGCAGAAGCACTGTGGGACATCAGAAGAGACCTCAGCAATAAACCGCAGCTCCAAGCTTTGGAATGCAGTAAATGTTTAAGAGACTTCCTTCCTTTCATTACTGAATTTTACTTTACTTTCATACCAGTAAAGAGTTGTGTTTTAATGGTTGAAATTTCTTGATTCCGTTTTCCCCAGGTCTGTTTAAAAGCTACATTTTATCTTTGAGGATGTTTGGCTCATGGTAGAGGAAGTGCTGCCAGCAAATTCAATTAACTGGCAGAGCTCACAGATATTGTACACGGATTTCTTTTTTTCTTCTTTTTCACAACTGCTACATAAACACAGCTGGGTTTAATATTTGTTGTAACAAAGATTCAACTTGAATCATTTTACTCTGGGTAATTAATGCATGGAATCTCAGCTACTTTTTCGTTTGTTTGTAATCCTCTGCATTTCTTTACTCTGGCTATCCAGATAATGAACTGTGCTCCTCTAGGTCTTTGCCCTGCCTTAAAACTGCTTAATATTTGGCCGTTCCCACTAGAGAGCAGATGCTTTTCTTTGAAGAATTGAATTTCTGTCAGCTCTTTTATGCATCATGTGTTTGGAACTGTAAGTGGATCAAGTTGTTCATCGCAGCAGGGACACTGTGAAACACATCTATTATACACACTTCCCACCCCCCTTCCTGTATTTCCTCCCCCGAGGAGGTGGCGATGCCCAAATCCCCTTGGGAGATATCTCACTCCGTGTGGCTGCATCCATGCGATCCACCCTGGATCCGTCCTGGCCGCATCCCTAAGCGCGGAGATCTATATCCATTCAGCCCAGATTGCTGCTGAGACAAATCCTGCTTTTATCTGTGTAAACACCAGGCACTTCATTAACTCTCAAATACACACCCAAGTTCGGGTCACTAAATAAACCCACCAGGCTTAGCATAATGAGTGATGTTTCAGTAAGTGGTGCTCTAGAAAATGTTCATTGTGAGCCCATTTTTCTTTTTTTATGCTAAAATAATGGCTTGGGTAGTTTTGACTTTGGAGTTGAGCTAGCATGGAAGAATAGGCACCACCTATTAGGCTTCAACTGTGTGCTAGCCACTGTGCTTGGTGCATTGGAAATCTTGACTTTTAAATATATATTGATTTGGGAGAAACATCAGTGATTGAGAAGCATCAATTGCCTGCCTCCTGCATGCTCCATACTCGGTATTGAGCCTGCAACCTGGGCATATGCCCTGACTGGAATCGAACCATGACCTCCTGGTTCATAGGTCTATCCTCAGCCACTGAGTCACACTGTCTGGGCTTGACTTATTTTTTAAATCTTCACCCAAGGACATGCTTATTGATTTTACAAAAGGGAGAAAGGAAAGAGAGAGAGAAACATTGAGTGGTTTCCTTCCTGTACCATCAATTCCACAAATTGGTATGTGCCTGACCGAAAATTGAACCCTGCAACCTTTCCTTGTATGGGACAACACTCCAACCAAGCCATGCCAGCCATGGTGAAAATCTTAACATTTAATCTGCATAACAATCCTTTAAAAAGTAATAGTAGTTACTTTACCCCATCCAGGTAATAGCAGCTGACTCAGGATTTGAACTCGGGTCCACTGGAACCCAGTGTAAAGCAACATATTATCTGTTGGGTATTGTGCCCTCATGCTCAGGGTTTGCTACACTTCATTCATTCATTGGTTAATTAGTCGATGCATTGATTTATTACACCTGCTTATTACATGCTGCCATTTATCTATTTGAATCCCCCCATTCCATGGCAATTCTTAGACCAACTGGCTTTTATGAACAACTTGTATCTGTAAATCTGAACTGGAGGTGATTTGAGTCATTTATTTAGTTTTGTTTTTCCCATCAGAACTCAATGCAAATACAATCCAACTTCCCCAAACAACCTACCATTTTCTTTAAGTTTTCGTTTTGCATATTTCAATCCCTAGATTCAGCTTTGAACTGACAGCTAAAAAAAAAAAAAAAAAAATCCAAATCCAAGTAGTTCATTTTGTCAACACAGCTTTGAAAAAAAAGTCTTGATGTTCCTGCTGTGATATGCTCAGCTTTTGGGCCTCAGATAGTGGTGCAGAGGGGAAAAGTGCATTTTGGTGCATTTTTAATAGATAACATTCAATTTGCAGGAATCATTATGGGATATCACATGTCTGGCTGAAATACCACTGATCTGTGGAATTAATTGTAGTTAAATGGGAAGGTGGCCTTTGCTCACAAAGAAAGTCATTAGTCTCCTGATAAAAAGTTTTAGTTATGATTACCCTCCAAACACTTTTTCTTAGAACCAGGCATGGTGTCCCGGTTCATTAGAAATAGAGCAGCCCCTTTATTTTTGATTTGCTGTCCATTTTGTTATTGAAAGATTTGGTGCGTGTTTTTTTAATTGGTAGAGGATATGTTGTAAAAAAGAAAAAAAATCCATGTATAACTTTCCTTTTGCAAGTGCATCTCTGTTTTTTCAAAGGTAACTTACATTTTTATTTTGCGTATTGTGTTTGCAAGAGAATGGCTTTTGGTTTATTCATGTTGACAACTGAAAAGCCTTAGACCTAATTAAAAGAATTTCCACGAGCACCTTTACTGAACCATTTCATTACGCGGCACTGCACAGCTTGCATTGTGAAACATGGTGATGGTGTAGATCTGACCTTTAAACTTAAACTGCCAGAAGTATGGGGAGAAAACCCTCCTTTGAAAAATACTCCCAGATACATACATATATAGGCATACGTGCATGCATATATTTGGTTAGAAATTATCTTTGTATTGAATGACCACCTAGTAATTTAAATACACATTTACTTTGAATCCATCTTCCTATAGCTTGGGCAGATTTTTAGCTGCATTAAGAAAGTAGGGTGTGTGTGTGTGTGTGTGTGTGTTGAACTAAATTGTTTTATAGGAAACCAAAGACAATTTTACTTCCTCTGCGCAGGGAAAAAAAAAAAGTGTATGAGGAAGATAAACTTTACAAATAGAAAAATGCAAAGCCTTTGCTGCTGTGTGTCTCGGGATAAAATGCTGAGGTAGGGGCTACATGCGTGGGGAGAGCTGCAGTGTTTGTGCTAGTATCCTCCCGAGCTCTATTTGGCAGGTAGCGGAAATGGGACTTTTTGTTTTTGTTTTTGTTTTGAAATTGTATGTTTTTACTTTAAGAATATCTTCCTGAAGGCTTGATAGTTTGTTTATAGCATGCTCAACAAAGCCATTATAGCACAAAGTGAAGTAGCCTTCACATACTGAAAATTAATCCTTTTGTCTGGGGGGGAAAAAAAAAGCTGCTTAGTATTGTAATGCTTGCTTCTAACTTTCTGACTTAATACTCAGCCTGTGAGATGTCAGGAGAGTCGGAGGGAGCAGAGACCTGGACCCCTGGGGTCAGAGCCAGCTCCAGCTCCGAGCACCATCTAACTAGCACAGTCCAGACTCCCCCATGGAGAACAGTAACTTTGATAGGAAAATGGGATGCAGAAGAAGCAATTAAAGCCAACTGAGGTCAAGGTACAACCATGTTCTCAAGAAACAGAAAAGCAAGGAGTGAGAAGAAGCAATAATGGAGATATATTAAGTTTGGGGAAAATAAACCAGTATCGGGGACAGACCCAATTTGCTAGCCTAAGAAATCCTGACGGCAGTAAGAAGTAATGGAATAGCACCAACTAGAGAGGAAGACAGACTTGGGCTTGGCATTGGCCTTTGCCCCTTGCTGCACCAGCTACCAGCTTCTGGCTGTGTGATGTGAGGCTGAGGCTCACTTTCCTCATCTCTGTAATGGGGATAACTGCCTGCCTAGCACAGTGGTGCTGAAATTTCCACAGCGCTGGGTATGAAAACACCTGCTATGGCAGTTGGTACCTAGTGGGGTGCTTCATAAATGCAAGTTCCTGTTCCTTTTTCCTGGTTTTCCCAGGAACTGTTACTGGGAAGAGAATGAAGTGGGATTGCCTTTACATAGCAAGAGTTTTTGCTTCCAATTTGAGGCAAGAACTAACTGAGGCACAGGGAGGTAACACCAAGTCTGTGTGAAGACAGCAAAGGGAGGCGGTGTAGATGTGCCCCAAGGACAGGACAGTGTGGCGGTAAGTAGTCCCTCTGCCCCTGTCCATACCCAGACCTCTTCCAGGAGACCCTGGAACAGAGCCCTGCTTTACTCAGGAAAGGAAGAATCCATTTGCCTTAGTCCTTGAGGGCCATTTTTTAAAGGCACAACAAAAGTGTGATTCTGTTGCCCCCTCCCAGCTGCTGCTGGTTGTCTGAATTTCCAACAAAAATCTTTAAACTCCAAATCAGACACTGAGCAATTAATGTACCTCCTCAGGGAAAGAAAGGGGGCTCCTGCACAGGCTTGAGCCAGACATTTAGAACTGTCCCTTTACTTGAGGTGCCGCACTGAGGATGTTCGTGGTCCTGCCTTCCTTCCTAAGAGCTCGATCTAATGGGAGAGAGAGACAGACATTGGACTGTTGGGAAATGTGTTGTTGCACATCACTGTGTCCCTAAAGGAAAGGTGTAATGAGAGTATAAAATGGGGTGCCGCTATCTAGTCTGAGGGGGTCAGTCTGCGGAAGTGATATTTGAGCTGAGATCTGAAGGATGTGTAGTACTTGGTCTAGGACCCTGTGTTGTCCAACATGCTAGCCACTATCCCCATGTGACTATTTAAATTGATTTAAATGAAGTAAAATTTAAAATTTCAATTCCTGAGTCACACTAGCCACATTTCAAGTGCTCAGTTGCAGCTGCCACGTTGGATCACACATATGCTAGATTATTTACGGAAAGTCCTGTTGGACGGTGCTGAATTCTAGGGAGTGATGGAAGTGAGAGCTCTCTAAGCCGAAGAGCTAGCTTATGTGAAGGCCTTGGGGTGTCAGGGAGGCCAGTGCAACCAAGGCCCCGAGGGTGTGGCTAAAATCAGGGGTGCAGGAACCTCGCATCTGAAAGAGGCTGGGACCAAATCACTCAGAGCCTTGCAGGCCAGGCTGGAACTTTAGTCTTTGTCTTCAGAGCAATAAGGAAGCTGCCGAATGATCTTAGGGTGCCAGTGCTGATGGAAAGAGATGGATGGGAGAGTCTTAGAGGAGGACAGATGAACAGCATGCCATCCTTATTCTCCCCTCTCTCTCCCACAAGTCACTACCAAGTGACAGATCTGTATTTGTTGAATGCCAATATGAATTGCAAGGGTTATTTTCGTTCTAGTGGTGAGGAAGGTATGTAAACTTCTGGTTGTACAAAAGGCTAAATGATAGGACAGTGAGGTAGACAATACAAGAGCGCCTTTTGAAGCAGTACTAAGCTAACTTAGGCTGCTCTGGGGGAGTTTAACTGTGTCAGGAGCAGGGCCCTGGTCCTATGCACCTCTGTTCAGCACAGCTTCAGCATGGCGCCTGCAAAGGTGAGGCGTCTACCTAAGCCATAGGCTATTGTGCTCCGGGAAGGAGCTCTTTGTTGTGACAGAGGACATCACAGAGAGTCAGAGGCATATATATATACTTTTGTTAGAAAGTAAGATGAAGAACATCCCAGGCCGAGGGATGATTTCTTGGCCTCTGAAATCGAAGAGAAGACAACGTGGGAAACAGAGCTTGAGCCAGGCCCATAGAAGGCCTGGAATATTGTGCTAAGCAATGTGCACTTTATGTTAGCAGCATGGAACCACTGCAGATTTTAGAGGAAGGGGGTGATAAGATTCAACCTGCTGTTTCAGGAAGATAGTTCAATGCACGGGATGGATTGGACCAACAAGAAAATAGAGGAAGGGCCACCAGTTGTGAAAGGCTGTTGCAGTAGTCCAGGTAAAAGATGAAGCCTGAACTAATACCAAAAAGCTAGGCAGTCCGCCACATCCATTATCCATTTTACACCCAATATATTTCAGCCTCGCAGTGCATGTTGGTTGCAGATGCCTCATTTCACAGCAGAGGAAACTGAAGCTCAGAAAGGCTAAGAGAGTAGGAAAGCCAGGTTTTTAATCTTGGACTTTGGCTTACATGATACAAGCTCTACTCTCTCCTGAATGCGGAATGCAGGGAGAGGTAGAGCCTACACGACCAGGTAAACAGGAGCCAGGACAGGGTAGGGAACACTGCATTTGTTATTGGACATGTTCCGTTTGCAGTGTTGTCCACGCTACTCATTCAGCAACCACAGGTCCATTTGCCTTGCAATTTGGGTTTCATCTTAATGATGACCTTCTGCAGACAGGAACAGAATGAGTGTCAATTTCTCCCCCAACCCTACCCAACTAAGACCACTTTCTTCTAAGGACCAAATGTGATCCTAGACCTGCCTCAAGGCAGAGGCTCAGCCACTGGAAATGCTTTGCAGGAGGTCAGCACACTCGCCATCTGTTGTTTCATTCAGAAGAAACTGCTGGGTGATCAGGCCCTGTGGACCTTCTGGGAACTCGGGGTCTGGCAGGAAAGATGGTAGACACTGCACCTCACCAAAGATTCACCTATGCAGTCCCAGGGGCTCAGGCATGGTGTCATTAGCCAGGTCTCAGGGGTTAGGGAAGGCTTTGCAGATGAGGGGACATCTGGCTTCCGTCTTTCCTTAACCCAAGGCAGTGTTTAATTTGACTATTAAAGAAAAATACCTCATTTAAATTCTTTATTATAAAAGTAACATATGCTTTTTTATAAAGGATAATCAAAACAATCAAAAGTTCATAAAATAGAAAGCATCTCTGCATGGTTAATGCTTGATACATGGCATTTTAGATTTATACTACAGATATGTACATATATAATTCTTAAACGCTTCATGCTGTACATATTGCTCTGCAGTTCGCGTGTTTTCCTCCCATTTGGCAATATTTTGTGGACATCCTTTCATGTCAGTTTACAGACTACATCCACATTCTGTTAGCTATACTGTGCTTCATAGTGAGGATGTGGTCTAATATACTTCATCGGCCCCGTTGATGGACACGTGGATGGTCTTTCAGAGGGCGAGGAGATGTTCTCATGCAGGACAGGAAGGGACAGGGACTGCTCCCTCTGAGTTGTCGGCATGTGTATTGACTGGAGAATTGTATGTGCTTCTAACAGAAATTCCGTATCAGTTGGGGGCTGCGAGAGGGAAGCAAAGCCAACTGAGGAAAGCCTCAGGCTGCTTGGAGGAATTGGATGGTTTTCTGAAGGTCCTTGTGGCCAACGGTGGGGGCATGGAAGGATTTGAGGGAGGGCGTGCATTGATCAGATTCATGTTTTCCTAAAATGACTGGGACAGCTCTGGGTGGATGGCATTGAGAGAAACTGGAGGCAGAGAGCCCATCTAGGAAACAACTGCTCCACCAGTCTGGGCCAGAGAGACTGATGGAGCTGGCAAGCGCAGGGCCAAGGTCATGGGCTCTGAAAGGAGAGAGCAGGTTCAGGACATAGTTAGGGTGTGTTGATAAGATATGAGAATGGTGGAAATGAAAAGAGAAGTAGGGAATCCAGCATCAGAATCTGTCTTGGAAGTCTGCAGTAACCACAATGGGGATGCTGATGAATTCAACTCTGTAGTCCCTTCCCTTTGTTTTCTGCCTGCCTCCTCTGATGCCTGATTACAGGAGGAAGCCATCCTCATCAGCATTTCCGCCACCCCCAACTTAAGGCCAATGCACCCCGATGTCAGGGATCTGATCAGACCCTCCAGGAGTACTCAGCAAGCTCAGCTTTAGATGTCTGACTGGGTTATTTGAGCCTTAGATTCTTCCCTCGGTTTCATTTAAAGGACAAAATGCTACCACCAGTTATCAGATGTGTATACACTTGAAGTTCCCAAGTTTGAAGTGCTGACAAAAGCTTCCGCATGTTGCAGGGTGAAGAGAGGTCTTCAGAAGTCTTGGCCTAAGTAGTCACAGGGGCACCAAGAGCCCAGGACCACTTGGCTGGTTTCAGACCAGCTGGGCAGGTGGGAAGGCACACACTCGTGTTTGCTCAGTTACCATCAGCCACTACCTCTTTGTGTAAAATGGTAATGAGGCCATTAGGAGAGGCTTACCTGAAGAGCAGCTTGTGAATCCTAGGTAATTAAACACCTCCTGAATGAACGGGAAAGGCCAGGGAAGGTTAAGTGAGGAATAATCTGCGGCACAGGTGGCCCAGGGCCTTTGAGGAGCAGGAAGAAGAGTGACAGTGGCTTACACCATTTCAAAGGATGGAAATATTCAGGAGGGACAGGATTTTTATTACAATACTTGGAGGGTGAGGAGTGGGCAGTATTTTTAACGTCTTAGTAAAGTATAATATGTATGCATTGGTGGGAATGCAGACTAGTGCAGCCACTATGGAAAACAGAATGGAGTGTCCTAAAAAAATTAAAAATGGAAATGCCATTTGACCTGGTGATCCCACTTCCGGCAATATATCAGAAAAATCCCAAAACAGCAATCAGAAAGAATATATGCACCCCCTATGTTCATAGCAGCATTATTTACAATAGCCAAGATCTGGAAATAGCCCAAGTAGCCATCAGTAGATGAGTGGATTAAAAAAAACAGTGGCACATTTACACTTTGGAATACTATGCGACTGTACAAAAAGGAAGAAACTCTTACCCTTTGCAATAGCATTGATGGACCTGGAGATTATTATGCTAAGCGAGTCAGAGAAAGACAAATACCATATGATCTCACTTATATGTGGAATCTAATGAACAAAATAAACTGATGAACAAAATAGGACCAGAGGCATGGATGCATGGAACAGACTTACAGATCTCAGAGGGGCGGAGTTGTGGGGGTCTGGAAGAGATTAACCAAAGAACATATATTCATATATGCATAGTCCATGGACATAGACAACAGTGTGGTGAAGGCAGGAGGGTGGGGGAGGACCTGGGTAAATAGGGCTAAGGGGAGAATGGGAGACATCTGTTATAGTGTCAACAATTTTTTTAAAAAAAGCATGTGTCCTTTTCACATTGCTATTTCAGGTTGAAAGTCCACGGCAATCTGCCTGGGTGCCAAATGGCCTGCGTTGCTTCTCATGGAGCACTCACCACTATGATTCAGGGGCTCATAGGTCCCAGAGTAGGGGAGGTCACAATAAACCGGGTATTTACATTCAGATGTTGAGACAAAATCCAAACTGCTTCCAAAGGAAAATTGTGTCCCCTGGCCTGCCTCCAAACAGAGATGGGGTGACCACCCTCTTGGTGCATGCTCCTGTCCTTCTGATTTATCAGAGAAGAAGGTCAGTTCTGCCTACTCTCTATTGACTGTCCAAGCATATGGATTGCCCCCACAACAACACAGGATTATTTCCCCTATATGCAGTAAACGCTTACTGATGGCCTACCATGTGCTAAGTACTGTGTTCTGTGTGTCCTTTTGGCTTATACATGAATATTCATAGCAGCACTATGTATTAACTACTCCCCTGCTGGCCTGATCACCCCTAACTGCCCTCCCCTGCCAACCTGATTAACTGCTCTCACCTGCCTGCCCGATTGCCCTAACTGCTCTCCCCTGCTAGCCTGATCGCCCCTAACCGACTCTGCCTCGTCCCCTGCCACCATGGCTTTGTCCAGAAGGAGGACTGGATGACTGGAAGATGTTCAGTCAACCCCGTCTATAGCATATTACCCTTTTCTTAGTATAAATGAGCATTATGCTTAGTGAAAGAAGCCACTCAGAAAAGATTACATACATAACTGTACATACATAAATAAGATTGCATTTATATGAACTGTCCAGAGTAGGCAGGCAAATCCATACAGACAGAAAGTGAATTAGCGGCTACCTTGAGCTAGGATGGGGAAGGAGGATTGGTGGGGAATAAGAAGTGACTAGCAATGAGTCTTCTTTTTGGGGTGATGAATATGTTCTGGAATTAGATAATAGTGATTGTTGTACAATCTTGTCACTAAAAAACCCACTGAACTGTATACTTTAAATGAATTAATTTTAAGGTATATAAGATATATTTTTTCTTTTTGACAGTAGTTCTCATGTATCAGTACTTTTATTGTTATATAGATAAAAATTATAGTAAAAACAAACAACTGTAAACAAAATGTAGCCCCCTCCATTTCCATGGTCAGAACACTGCATTGAAGTAAACCAAGTTTATATTCCACCGTCAAGTGTGATTCCTCCATTAGTGCACTTTGTGATGGGTCATTAAGAGTATTTCAGCCCAGTTATGGTGGCTCAGTGATTGAGCATGAAACTATGAACCAGGAGGTCACAGTTCCATTCCTGGTCAGAACACATGCCTGGGTTTTGGGCTCAATCCCCAGTGGAGGGTATGCAGGAGGCAGCTGATCAATGATTCTCTCTCATCTTTGATGTTTCTGTCTCTCTTTCCCTCTCCCTCCCTCCCTTCCTTTTTACATATATATATGTAAAAATATATTTTAAAAAGGAATATTTTCAAATCCAATGGTCTCATCATTACCCCTAAAATTATCCAGTGAGAGGTGTGAGCGTGGAAGAAGTGGAAGACACTGGACCTGTAGCACTGCCTTGTATCTCATTTGCAATTTTAGTGGAGCAACCAGACCCTGAATGTTTCTCAATATGGAAAATTTCATTTTATCTTGGTTGAGTTGGAAATTTTTGCTGATAATTCAAGAGGATGAGTGGCCAAAGCTCATTTTTCACACAAGGAAAACTTTTTTGAAGATCATGACTTTCAAAAGGTCCATTTGCTGAAAGTTCAGTAACTGGAATACTGTCCTTCAGCCGAGATGCAGGTCCTCTGCATCTTCAGAGGCCTCTCAGCTCTGTTACTATAAGATTTATCTTAACAAGCTAATAAAATTCCTTATCAGAAACTTAGTAATAAGAAATAATGTTCATAGAACATTTCTAAAGGTATATATTGTCCATCTTAGATCAGTTATTCTTAATGGTTTTTGTTTTAGTTTTTGTTTGTGTAGGATTCTGAGGAAAGCTATGGAACCTATGCCTCCTAAAGTGATCATCACTCCTTCATATTAAAAATTTATAGATGATTCATGGACCACCTGAATCTAATTTTCTATTTTATTTGTAATTTTATCCTTAAATAATGTCAAGCCATTAGATAGTCCTTTATCTAAACTCCTGATTCCTGAAATGTACCCATGAAATGTCACCCACATGCTTAAAAACAGTCATTAGCTTTATATTTCTCACAAGACAAAGGAAGAAATTCCTTGGTGTTCTCACAGGCTCCTCTGACTCCTTCTCTCACCTCATTCTACGCCATACTCTCCCTCATTCTCTCCACTGAAACCACAGCCCTTTCTGTTCTCTGGACTCCTCACTACAGGGTCTTTGCAAATGCTATTCCTCATGTCTGGTACACTGTTTCTTCCTCCCTTAGCCAAGATGACTTCTTCAACTGATCCTTCAGGTCTCAGTTCAAGCCTGTCTCCCTCCAGGAAGCTTTCCTTGACCTCCTTGGTGAGCTGTCAGAGGCTCATTACAGTAGCAATGTCATAGTATTGGTGTTTCCCTCATGAGAGTATAAGTTTTAATGAGGACAGAGCTTATGTCTAGTTTTGTTTACCATTGTATCCTCAACACCTAACACAGTTCTAGGCTCTGAGAAAATAATGAATATTTGTTGAGTGAATGAATGACTCGAGGCTACCACATTGCACAATTCTAGGGACACCTTTCACATGGAACATGGTGTGAATGATGTGCCCAGCAGTTGTGCAATCCTGAGATGAATGAAGAACATTTTAGAAGCAAACCCGGAAGCTTGATGCTATCTGATGTTGAGGGCAACAGGCATCACGTCATGGTCATTCCTACTTTGGGAACTCATGGGAAGAATCTCATTTAGTTCTCACTTTCGGGAAAATCTGTGTACAGCTGGGTAACTGGTTGGTTTGTAATACATGAATGGACCCAAGAATCTCACTACTCCTTATATATCCCTTTTTGCTTTGACCACTTAGGAGGCTCTTAAGTCAAAAGTTCATTTCTAGCATTATGTAAGACCTTAGGGCTTATCTTTACGTATTAAGTCTATTCCTGGCTACTTTTCCCATTGCTATGGCTTTCTTATCTATTTTATTTTAGCATGTGAGTGCTTATCTATAATTTGCTACTATTCCTTTAGAGCAGCGGTTGACAACCTTTCAGACCTCACATACCACCAGTGGTCTATGGACCGCCAGTTGGCGACTGCTACTTTAGAGTATCAGGTGTGAGCTATATGATCCTATATAATAAAGAGCTAATATGCAAATGGTCATTGTGCTCTTGCACCAGGGCAGGGGGACCTGAGGCTGTGCCCCCTACCCTGGTGTTGGGCCCCGGGACTCTGGGTCTCGCAGCACACCCCAGATTCTGACAGGAGGAAGATTTTCATATACATTTTACTAATTTTCTTTCATCTCTGACACTTCTATTATAGAGAAAGGGCAAACAGCAATATTCCCAAAATTCTAATTCCCCTTTAATGTGCATGAATTTCGTACACCAGGCCACTAGTAACATATATTCATTTATTGTACACTAGTGACCCAGTGCACAGATTTGTGCACATTGAAAGGAAATTAATTAGAAGGTGGCCAGTGGGGACTGGGTGAGATGGGCCGGACATACCCTAGACTAGAGCCAACCTCCTGCGGTCCCTCCTCAGCATCTGCAGAGGGAGCAAGGTCTCTCCAGCAGGTGGGGGCCCTCAGCCTGGCCTGTGGGGATTGGGCCGAAACTGGCTCTCTGACATTCCCTGAGGGGGCCCAGAGTGTGAGAGGGTATTCTGCAAAGTTGCTGTGGTACAGGGTGTGGAACACAAATGCAAGTGTGCAGTAAACCAGATTCGGCCCCCGCAAGAACATAACCCATGGCTGAAGGTGGAATGGCCAAGCCCACGAGGAATCAGGCTCCCTCCTCTCTGGTTTCGGGGTTAATCACCTAAGAACTACTGCTTCCAAGTCACTGCAGCTCAGCACCTCCTGTGTTGAGTGTCTGCCCCCTGTGGTCAGTGCACATCATCGGATACTTAGCGTATTAGCCTTTTATATAGATAGATAATATATTAAGTATTAAAAATCACTTATTCTAATATTTGTTAGTAATGTGAAAAGGGAATGGAATTGGAACTGAAAATCTTTGTGTAATTCGGGGTCAGCTGAACAGGCTCCCATTCATATTCCAACTTAGCCACTTCTTAGGTTTGTTCCCAGGCATGTGATTGACCGTCTCTGAGACTGTTTCATCCTTATAAGGATGGGACCACTAATTTCTTCCTTACAGGATTACTGAAATAAATTAGAAATTTAATGTGAAGCACTTATTTGGTTCATTGTAACTGCTTAGAAAGTGGTTTTGTTTGTGTTTTCATTAGATATGCTATAATAAAAGCAACATTCATTTAAATGTAAAAAAACTGCCCCAACACTGAATGCATTTTTGTTCTCCCAACAGCCAAAGTATCAAGTTGATTCCAGCCAGGGATTTTCTAGAGCTCTTACTCAGAGATCCTCCTCCAGACCTGCCCTCAACTTGTCTCCTTTCTCTTGGTCACCAGATCGCTTCACTGAAGAGCCGGCTAAAGAAGGTCTCCACCACCACTGGCGACGGTGTGGCTAGAGCCTTCCTCAAGGCCCAGGCTGCTTTCTTCGGCAGCTACCGGAACGCTCTGAAAATTGAGCCAGTGAGTAACTTGTTGGCATGTTATAAACCCATGTTTGGTTAAGGCTAAGAAACATACCCAGGGACCATGAGAAACCTGCAATTCACCTGGTTGTTGAATTCACCAAAAAAAGGTTGTGCATCTGTATTGAGGGGGCGGGAGAACAGGGAGCATCCCTACCTCGTAGCACAAGGAAGCCTCTCGGCCATTAGTGAGGCACACTAACTGCTCCTGTGAATGTAAAGATCCCTCTGTTAACTACAGTGCCCGGCTCTCACTGCAGATTCACAGTAAGACAGATAGCAATAATCATCTCCATTTTACCAGTATAGAAACTGAGGCTCAGAGAAGAGATGTGACTTGCTAAGCAGTGGAGGAGCCAGTTAGTCCCACAGCTGTGATTTCCCACTGCCTCACTGCCCTTGTCCACCATAGGAACCTCATCCCCACCCTTGAGAAAGTAAAGCATCCTGGGGGATTCACTTCTTAGAGGCTCCTATAGTGGTCTTGGTGTGAATGACTATACACTGTGCGGAGGCTGGGAAGTAGTGTTATCCACCTCCATGCACTTCAACCTTTCTAAGCCCCCAAGGCCCCATTACTATCCCCTGCCTGCCTGTGATACCCTAACAATAACAACTAGTTATTGCTAAGGTATGCAGACAACAGGTTAACCTTCAAACCAATGGAAGTACCAACTCTCCCAGCTTCAGTAAGAAGTTTGCACTGGATACCCTCTATTCAGCCTACTCTTGGCCAAGGTTATGGAGAAATTGGCCCAGGGGCCTTGGTCACTCCATGAAGCAAAGAAATTTGGAGGGGAACCTGACTGAGAGCCCTTTTCTCTCAGGAGCAATGGCAGCCACAGCCAGCCCAGTTGGAGTGGGTCACATTGCCTGTGGGGTAAGGATGTTTTCATCACTAGGACTCCAGCATGTGTCTAAATGAGACACAGAGTAATAGCAGACTCCGTGCCTTTTCTTCAGCCAGGTCACATTCTCTGTGACATGGCCAGGGCCGTTGTGCACAGGGAGCAGCAGCCAAATGCCACTACCCTTCTTGCTTCTCATCTTTCATCAACACTTAGGCCTGACTCTCTATGCTGCCTGAGCTTCAGGCACGGTCATGATCACATAACAGAGAGGGGGATGCACTCTCTTTTTCCTAAGAAATTCTTTCCTAGGTCCTCTGAGGCCCTTTGGTTTAAACCAACTTCACCATGTTCGGCTTGTCTCTGAGGGAGGTGGCTCTGATTCTTTGTCCTGACCTTGGGCGCAGCCAGACCAGCCAGGAATGGTGTCATTTTGAGAGCTGGTATAATCCAAGGAAAATACTGGCGTCTTCCCGTCTCTAAAATGAGAATGAGGCAACTGGCTCCGTCCTTTCTTTGGGAAGCTGAGCACTGATAGACATGAATTGTCCATTCTTACAGTGATCCTATAGTTGCTATGAGTATGTCTAGAATCCATAGGCGGTTGAGTCTTAGTATGTATTGCTGGGCATATCATTAGGCACAAGTGCTCCTCTGGAGAAGTTTATGGTTGTACTTGCACTTGTCACATGGGGGTGGTGTGCGGGATGTTCTCTTGGACGAGCCTCCAGAGTGGCAGGCTCCCAGTGCTGAGGGGATAGAGCAGCCTCCTCAGGCCACTTGTGTTTCTCTATTATAAAAACACCAGCTCCTGGTAAGAAATATTTAAAGTAACTGAGGACTTGAATGAGAAAACATCCACAGTCCTATCATCTGGAATTAAGATAACATATTAGCATGTTTCTACTTAGGTCTCAGGATTTTTGGGGTCCTTTTTGTTTCATTTGGATTTGGGTTTGGGAATTTTACTTTTAGGCAGTTGAGAAATTACCAGCAAAGCAATCTAGTCCCCAGTTGTTTGGGTTTGCCTTTTAGCATGTTGTAAGCATTTATTCATAGCAAGTGAAAACTCTTCTTAAAACATCATTTATAATGGCTGTGCATATCCCATCAGGTGACTCTAGTGGCTCGCAGTCTTGGCTGTGGATCAGAATCACCTGTGGGCCTCTAAGAAGGGCAGCCTGAGCCCCACTCGCAGAGATTTTTATCAAGTTCCTGCGTCTGAGATAAGTACCCAGGCCCATCACATCAGCGCTGTGGCTTTTGTTAGGCACCTTTCATAATTTTAAACCACGCTGTGGTGAACATCTTCGGATAAATCTTCATGCGTGCTCTGAATCATTTCCTGAGGCATAATCCCTGACATGGGTTGACTGGGTCAAAGGATGGAGTACACTGAAGGCCTTTGATATACAAGGTGAGGGAGAAAGATGATGGCCAGAGCAGGTGGTGGTGGACGGGAGCCGCCTCTAAGGCAGATTGCCAGGCGGATCTGAGCAGCAGCCAGCAGTGGAGAAGAGGCCAAAGTGGAGGGCTTTGTGGGGTGTGGGGTATGGCTTCCCACTGGGCCAGTGGGTGCAGTCCTGAGACTCAGGTCACTGCACAGTCCCAGAGATTTGGTTTTTAAACATGAAACATGATGGATTCGACAGTGCTCACTGGTGCCTCTCTTCAGGGCCAGGGGAATGATTCCAAAAGGACTCTCCTGAGGGTCAGGAAGTGAGCTCAAAGGGTGTCCAGTGACAGCCACGTCTCCTACCTGCTCGGCAGCCTTCCCCAAGGCCAGAGCTTGCTTATTTCATCTCTCAGTTGTTTCAGTAATTCCCCTCCACTGCTCTTTACTATCCATTTCACAGATGGGAGATAGAGGCTCAGATTGTGGGTGACTTTTGGTAAGTAGGAGAGCTAGAGGACAGACTTGGGCCATCCTGACTCCAAAACTCGGGTTCTTTCCACCACACCAGAGGCCGGCAAACTCATTAGTCCACAGAGCCAAATATCAACAGTACAACGATTGAAATTTCTTTGGAGAGACAAATTTTTTTAAACTTAAACCTCTTCTAACACCACTTCTTCAAAATAGACTCGCCCGGGCCTTGGTATTTTGTGGAAGAGCCACACTTAAGGGGCCAAATCGCTGCATGTGGCTCACGAGCCGCAGTTTGCCGACCACGGCACCATACCCTCTCACCTGTCTTTGTTCTGATTTGCTCATGTTCCACTTTTATAACTCTTTCTTTCTGTGCTCCCAGCACTGGGCATGGGTCATGGCACAGTGCAGGCATCAGTGAGTATATTTGGGAACAGTGGATGGAAAGACATAAAGGCACAGGAAAGCTTCTGGGCTGGGGGCTGGCGCTGGGTCTTGCTCAGTGTGTGTGCATTGCATCCTGCCCTCTCTGTAGGCTTTCGGTGGCTGCTGCCGGCAGAGGAGAGAGTGTCTGCAAATCGCAGAGCATGTGACCCATTTCTCAGTCACCCGAAGAATATAAGGTGCAAAGCCCAAGATATTTAACAATATCGGCCAAGCCAACTTGTTCATCTCCACTTAAATGACAGAAGCACAAGCAGCCAGGCAGCTCCATTCGGAAAACCCCCCTTTATCCATGTCAAGCGCAGCCAGGCTGCAGCTCATTTATTTAGGCCTTTCTTGCTCTCTGACACGCCTCCTAGCAGTTGCCAGGCAACTCTGGGAGTAGCAGTGTGTGTTAGGGATTAACTAGTTAGGGCTGGGGTCCTTTTTGGCAAGAAGGGGATAAAAGACAAATGATTTTAATTGCTAAGCCAAGGATCCTTTCTCCGCTTGGTGGAAGATTGCAACTTGTGGAGGATGTGGGCAGCAGTGTGGTTCGTGAATTCGCCTTGGAAGTTCCCCTTTCTCCCGCCTATGCAGAACAAATGAATTTTAACAAGAATCTTACTTTTACTTCTCCTTTGGTTAAAACTATGCCATCATGAAATCTGAATATGACTAGCCCGCTGCCCTCTCTTTGAAGACATTTCATAGCTCAGTAGCCTTAGTTTTAAAGAACTTTCAAAAATAGACTGTGTCTTCTAATTTCATTCCTTTTTCCGTTCAGTTTCTCATTTCATAGCTCGTGCTACCTGAATTCATCTTAAGATAGTGCATGTGAAAGTGTATGTTCCCTTGTTTGTCCGCTGCAGATCCCTGGTAAAGGTTAGGTCAGAAGGCAAAACGGATGGCTGTTGGTACTTTAAGATGCGTCCTGTTCTGTGCCAGCCTCTGGGAAGGCCAGTATAGATGGAACATCTGTGATTGTTTATTCAACAGCTCATGTGGAGCTCTCTGGACCAACCTGCTGGCTGGGCATCCCCAGGATGCGCGGAGCACAGCCCCTGCCCACAAAGGTGAATGCTGGGCTGGGGGCAGTCGACAGCCAGCCAGGGTGTCTGTGAAGGAGGCTGGGCAGGCAGCAGCCAGCAACTCCAGTCCAGCTTGTTCCTTTCACCCCCAGAGGCCTGGCTTCCAGCTTCAGCTGTGGGTCTGCTGGCATCACTTTCCTTATAGCCCCTGATTGTGCACATGATTCTGCTGAGTCATATTTATCCACCTAAAATCCCTGGAAGACAGAGAAGTTAAGATAAAAGCAGATTGATAGCCTGGCTTTCAAGCATGAATGGGCAAAGCTTTGTTGGAGCAGGTCAGAAAACACCATGTATATCTGTCTCCTAAATGAGTAACATCATTGAGCTCATGATTTAAAACACACACACACACACACACAAAATATCTGTGATTTTAGTATAATAAGCAATAGGAAAATATTTGTAAACTAGAAAAATTAAAATAGCGCTATAGTCACATGAAACTAACAAAAGTACCTCAATTAACTTTTGTATATTCTCTTTAATTATTTTTCATTTGCATAGTGTTTATATAGCTGCTATCAAATTTAAGTTAAAAGTTCTTTTCTCCTCATTTAACATGACATATGCATTTTTACATAGCTACAGACTGTTTTATCAAGTTCAGCTACCATAATGGCTATAACCACTTTCTCATGTTGGACATTCAGATTATTTCCAATATCTGGGCATTATAATTACTATTCCACTAAACATCTTTATGAATAAAGCTTTGAATTCTTCTATTTGGAAGCCACAGTCTGCAAGCAGGAGCCTGACTGTG